ATATATTTCTTTTTTCTTATTATTAAATTTGCATACCTACAAATATTTGGTATTAGTTTATTTTGAGAAATTTTTATTCGAATCAGGTTCACCCTTCTTTCCAGTGTGCGTGACCATTGAAGAGGTTCTATTGCAAACATATGAGTTTGATGTTAGAGTTGCTGGTCTCTATCAGTACCCTAACGAGGAGAGGTTTAACTGCTTCAGGATAATGTTCACATGACTCTCACACTCGCAGTTCAGCTCTTTTTAATTTATAATATATATTATTCTGTTCTAAATTAATTATTATTTTATATTTATTTGTATATTCTTATTAGTTTGTAATTTAAATATTATTTTGTTAAGTAAAATTATATATAATTATGCTAATTCACCCCCGCAACATCTTTCCCTCTCGTGCATGGTCCTGTGTCAATAATGCATATTGTGCTGCTGACATGGCCTCACAAATGCCTACATAGAATGTATGTAACACCCATCTTGTCAGCATGCCATGCTGGACATTTCTCCATGTGGCACACTCTTTTGTCTTAAGTGATGCAATATTTTTACATAAACTACAAAAGCCATTTCATTAATATGGTATTCGGACCTCTTAAAACAAACACACACGCAATAATCTTTTCATGCAGCGAGTAACATTTTAATCGATAATTTTAAGCCATAATCAAACTCCAGACTATCTCATTAATTCCATAAGATTTTTTTGTATGAAAGAGTAATTTTGCATCACCTAAAAAAACAGGTCTATGTCAAAATATCCCTCCATAAGTAGGGGTGCAACTCGGGCGAGTAGTACAATCAACTCTAGTTCAACCCTAAGTATATAATTTTGAATCCTAATCTTAACCTTACCTCGGGTTGGGGCGAGCACTGCCCGAGTTTAATTCGGGTGGGCTCAGGTTGATGATTTGAGGTTACTTTACGGGTTCAATTCGGGTAGAGCCCAAAATAAGCTTGTTGTTCTAAACCTAAAATAAGGACCAGTTCTTTATTGCTTCTTGTACAATCTGTAGTACATGAATGTATGGTAGTACAAAGTTTTTTGCCTAGCTATGGTCCTGCACGAGTTAAAAGGCAGACTGGATTTTAATTGTATGCTAAGAAAATATCTGCTAATGACTTCATCATAAAAGTAATTAAGTGAATCTCAGTATATAAATAACACATTTATATATATACACAAACATATGTACTTGGTTCCTTTTAAGTAAGTAGTGTCATAAAAGTAAAGTAATCGACTTATTCCATCGACAGATTGGGAGGGAGCTTTCTTTTTTATCCCATAATCATGAGTAATTGGGACCATAATAAACACATTGAGAGCATTCGGTTTCAAGATTGTCGAACGCGTATTTTCTGATTCTCAAAGCTGGATCCCAGACCAAAATTAAAAGACGTTTTAAACATACATATATATGTTGTCAATATATATTAAGTAGTCGCACTCAATTTTGTCAATGTCAACTGGTTAATTAGATGCCCCACTCTCAGAACCCTCTTATATATATATATATATATATTCTCTTCCATTATTACTTTCACACGCATCATCTTTATGTTTACATTCCCCCTCTTTCCCAATAAAAGTAAAAACAAAAAAAGTGCCCCCAAGTTTTTTTGGACAATATAAGGCAACATGGGGTCCCATATGTCCAATTCCCAATTCCCAATTCCAATTCCAATTCCAATTCCAATTCGTCTAGAAAGACAAGTGCGCTATGAGACAATCCACTCCAGCTGTTTTTCCTTTTCCTTTTCTTTTCATCCAATCTATATCTATCTATCTATCTGGGCATCTATTTCATCTTTGTCACTCAGCCCAATGATGGATCTAGCTAGGGACGACATAAAAACCATTATTATTTTTTGATTCTCCAAATTTTATGTGGGCAGCGCAGCAGCCATCCTCTAAATTTCGTTCGTTTCTAATTGACCCAATTCATCGCAAACATATAGCAGCTCCTTTCTTTTAGTCTCATTACTCTATTTGTGATTGGAAAAGTTAAAAAATGTGGGGTAATAATGGCACCTAAAGTTGGGTAGCTACAACAGTTCTCTCACCACAAAAATGGAACGAGTACTTGTAAAAGTCATGTAAGATCAAAAAAAAAAAAGTGTCTACATTCAGTTGGTGGTTCGCCTTTATTATTCCCACTTTCTCCTTTTCTTCTCCACAACTCAACCAAATAAGACAAATTGGGATTTCACATTTGGATACCTCCCTCCCTCCCTCCCTCCCTCCTTCCCACTCTTTGTATGTTGGAACCAATCATTGCAGGCAAACAGAAACTCTCTCTCTCTCTCTCTCTATATATATATATATGTGTGTGTGTTTTCCTGGGGACACCGTAATGGGCAAATAGCTCTAATAGCTAGTGTGATGTCATTCACCTACTGCATTAAACTAATTCATTAATATGTTATTATTTTATATTTATTACTACTACACATTAAACTTTAATATCGGGACCTATTGGTACTTTAAAAATAATTATATATAGTAGATATAACTAATTCTATAATACTCAATTTAAAGACGCTAAGTAATTTAACGGAGGTCTTTTAAGAGACAAATGTGAAGAACAAAAGAAGAGGAAAAAGATCTTATAAAATGTGTGAGCCACACGTTTCAAATGACAAGTGTCGTGAGAAGAGCATGCCAAGTGTTAGATACTTATAAAATTGCATACGCCTTTCTTTTTAGAGTTTTTTTTTTTTTCCTAATAGGGCGAATTTAAGGTTTTATGCACTGTCCCATAAGCTGCCATCCCAAAGACAAAGTGCATGCATATATATTTCTCACTCATCATTTAAAAGTGGGCATGACATAGGCATAGGCATAGGCATAGGCATACACTCCACTCTTTCTCTATTGGGGCATACTAGTTGAAATTCTCATAACCTTTTTACATACTTTTACAGCTCAACTCCATAGTCCAATATTCCTCCATTAAGCTTTTATATATCAGACTACCTTGAAAACTATTTGACCTTTGTGATTAATATTAACTTATACTTGTGTAAAGATCGAGGAATCCCCTGAGCTGGTGGATTTTCCTTTTACTATACAAGAGCTCCTCGGCTTTCACATTTTGCATCTACCACCAAATTAAGTTCACTCTCTACTCCCTCCTTCATTTACGGCCGCCGGCATAACACGATAATACGTAGATATATGCGAAATGAAAAAACAATAGAGTATGTCTCTATGTAAGAATCAATCTTTAATTAGATTCAGAGGCGAAGAACTTTTTTCTTCACGAGTTGTAGGGAATTAGGTATGTAAGAAAATATTGGAGCTAAACTATAAATATTAGTAGTGATGGATTTTTGTGGTCATTTTTTGATTGTAATTATGAGTTAACAAGCCATTCATTTGTTTCCATATATACATCTCCTCTCTTATAGTAAAATTGCAGGTGGGGGATGGATTCTCATCTTACGTACAGATGATCCAGAATGTCCATGCTTATTTCAGATTGACAATGAACGCAAGTAATATTAGTTAGAACCCGTCATAATTCATTTAATAGTAGTGATAAATTAAATTGAATTGAATACAATGAAAATGGTAAAGCCTGCATCAAGTAAAGATGGATTAAGAATTAACTTAAACTTATTAGGCACCACAAAGATGCTGTATACTCTATTCAGCAACGCATGATGAGAATTTTGTCTTTTTATTCACTTTTCAACATTGTTATAATTCAATTTTTGATTGAATTCTTTATGTTTCAATGGTAAGTTACCATTTTTTATCGTAAATTCAAGAGCATTCATTTTATATATGAGCAAGTTTTAACTAATATGTGTATGACAATTAAATATATTTTTAGAGAAAATCTAAATTTAGAACGCCCCTTCACAGTTCAATATATATATATATATATATATATTTATATATATACATACATACGGGCGTCGTCAAGGATGATAACTAGGAAAAAATATTAAATTAATGATTAATTAATTAGAAGCCATTGTGGTAGTAGTATGCTATGCTTAGTGGACATTATTAACTCAAGGGTTGGCCGCCATTACCACTGGAATCAACTACTTTCCATATCAAACGATCTAATTACATTATTACATACAAATACGACACAACGTCATAACTCGGCTAACAAAGTCGCAAAAAAAAAAAATTACATTACATGGATGTATATATCACTGTTGTAATTAACAATCAATTATCATAATGAAAATAATTTATTAATAATGTAGTGAATAAGAGTCTGAATAATTGCACAATAAAAATTTATAATTAGGCAACACGAAAAATCAATGATTGTCTTTGATAAGAAAAGATGATCGACTCTTTGCAATATTGCAGCTCCTAACAAAGATGGAAAATGCCTAACACCCACTCAAACTCATTAAGGTGTCTAAAATTCTTCTTCACAATAAATTTTTAACGTACATCATCGACATATCTCTATTATAATAAAAATTAATTATTATAATTTTCTAACAATGAATCTTGAAAAGAATTTTAAAAGAGAGAATCATACAACTTATAAGAGGGGGAGGGGGAGGGCACATAAAAAATCATTTACTGTATTTGATAATGAATGGTTCCATCAATTCTTAGTTTGTATAATCTTGAGGGAATCAAGATTGAACAATTTGACAAAAACTAATTAATTTCTTTACAACAAGTCTTTAAAATAAGAGATAAAAGCTATCTCAAATGATGAGAAAAAATTGTAAGACTCACTCTAATTTTTTTAATTTAAAAATATGCATTAAAATGTCAAGCTCAAGCAATAGAATGCAGAAAAAAATTGGTCTAAATCAATAAGTTGTCCAAAATATGCCAAGAGAAATATAATTACGGACCCATCAAGAAAAGAAAAGGGAGAAAAAAAAAGACTTTTGTTATGTTGTTTTATTATTATTATTATTATTATTACAATTACAAAATTAGGAGGATCCATCAATATTAAACTTCTCAATTCTCTCATCAAATCCTAAATGAAGACCCCCGGAGGAAGGAACCATTCTTTTCCAACCCCAACCCCTTTCTCGCTCCTCTATTTCTCTCTCTTCATTACGGCTGGCTGCTTCTGTTCTGTTCTGTTCTGTTCTGTTGCTACTGTATTCTTCGCTCTGTTCCTTTTTGGACAGCTATAAAGAGGATCCGTTCCCCGTTGAAACATCTCTACGTCAATTTTTAGTTTTGGGTTGGAAACACAAGAGTCTATAGAGAAGCTACAAAATGTATGCAGAGACTGGCCTTCTGTTCCCTTATTTTCAGAACTTCTCTCAAGAAGTGCAACAGCTTGAAGACTTCTTTGGCTATCAGAAACCTAATGCTTCAATGATGGTACATACATACTTCTCTATCTTCTTTCACCTCTGTGTCTCTCCGTTTTCGGTGAATCTGCTGGATCAGCATTCGTTCGATTTTTTTTGCACCTAGAATTTTGAGTTTCAATACTTGATTGTTCGAGGGTTAGGGTAGGATTCTCTCGCTGATTGAAATGGGTATTTGACTTATGCTTTGTTTTGGTGGAAAATTCAATTGATTTCTGACCTTCAGAGTTCTTTGACTACTTTTGTTGTGGGTCTCATTTTTTTTTCTAGTTTCTGTTTGGATGCTGATGAATCTTTAGAAGGAAAAAAAAAAGAGGAGCAAAATTCAAAATTTGGAAAAATTATTTCTTTATTCATGGTTTCTCAGCATGCAAAGTGAACATGGAGATGAAAAAAGAAAAAAAGATGAGCTAAAGAAGGAAAACTGAAACTTCAAATAATTAATATTCAAATTTTCAGTTTTTTTTCAAATATTATTGACAATTATCTCAGCAACCAGACAGACATACATGCTTAGCGATTCAGTTCTGTGTGCTGGATAGTGAAAAGGAAAATAAAGAGAGTCGAAAAGAATGTCACAATCTTAAGTTTCGGGTTGTCTACTCCCTTTTCCAATTTTCTTCTGTGGAAAGGACATAATTGACCATGGATTTGTTTTTCCCTTTTACTTCTTTCTTAAGGATATGTAAACAGTATTTTCAGATAGTTTTTCAAATCTTATGCCAACTTGTGTTAAGGATTTACTTTTCACTGCACTTACAAAGATTAAAGAGGAAAAGTTGGGCAAAAGCAAAGCTAACCCAACTTTCTTCTTGTTATTCCATTGGCTTTATTATTTTGGAGGGGTGGAGAATGGGTGCGAAGGATACTAGTTTTGGGGAAAAAAGATCATCCTTGGTAAAGTTGAACTTGATCTTTGTCCCTCTTGGGTTTTGGACTTCTCGTTACTTCTGAGGTTCTCATTAATAGTTGCACTGTATATCTGCTTCTTATGAACATCAGCTCTGTGGAAATTTTGGCATGTGTTTGGGTTGCTAAAATTTATGACTGAAATCCTGACAACATTTATTTACTGTTAATGATTCTGTCAAATTTTTTCCATTTTTTAGCTAAATAACTAGATGTTTGTATAGTGCCATATTTTTCCATGTTTTCCCTCCCCCTTCTTTCGTGGCATGATGATAAATGGGGTGAAATTCTAGGAAAGTGGCCTAGTGTAGCTATCTTTACCCAACTTTATGGACAAATATGGAAACTATCCTCTGCACTACTAATCTAGGATGTGAAATTTTTTAATGGTGAGGTTGATTTGAGGAATATCATTAATATATGTTAAAATGTCTCATAGTTTGATAGATTTTGCCAAATCTAGACCCCAGCTGTTTTGTTAGAATGTGAAATATCATAAATACGTACACGCATGTATGAATGTCCGTATGAATACTTTGATGAATCGCTCTAATCAGTACTGTTTTGGCACGTGTTATTTTCATACTTGGAACTTTTTTTCTAATACAGTGTAATATGGTTCAGACGTCCACTATTTTGGAATATGACCTTGGGGGAGAAGGGGATCTCTTCAAAGCTCCAGAACCTATTATTGAAGCATCAGGAGTGGGCCTTGATCCCATGATGGCTGCCATTTCAATGACCTCTTGTGGAGATGTCATTAACCCCCAAGCACTCAAGGTTACAGATCTGGAATCAATTCAGAGTGAACAGCTTCTGAGTGAGGTTTTCTATGAATGCAAGAAGGATCTATTAGCAAAAGAAGCTACAGAAACATCACTCTCGGAGGTCATGGACATCAAAATTCCTGCAACAAGGACAGATGACAACCCAATTGCAGAAGAAAAGTTACTTCCTCAGGGACCTCTCCAGAAAAGTGTTAGCTCAGGGTGTTTAAGCTCAATGGAGTGGATACAAGGGGCTCCAATGAGGCCAAATTTTCTGGATTTTTCTGGACTGGACTTTGGAGCTGTTTATGGAATGCGAAGGGCATTCAGTGAAGGAGACATGAAGGTCAATTTTATATGCTCTCTTGCATTGTTATCTCATCTCTGTCCATCGTGCTTTTATCTGTATCAATATTTAGCTCTCTTATCCCATTTGTCTCCAAGCCAATTTAGTGGCCTTAAGGACATATGAACATGAAATGGCACCACATCTACCTTTGAGAAAGGAAAAGGTATAAAAATAGGAGGAAACATGACCAAAAGCATATGACAACATGACAAATGTTGACAAAATGGTAAGGGATAGTCATTTCGAAATTTGTAAAAAGGTTGACATGATTGAGACTTTGTTCTACTATTTCTTTATCCTAGATTAGGGTCCACGTATGCTTGCTGTTGTATCTATGCTACTCACTTCTGGGGAGATACCAGAAGTTGTAAGACACAGAAACCTGAAAGGCAATAAGGAGACCTGGTCTATTCTTCACAATTTTTGTCAGCAGAACAACGTAAATAGGCAAAAATGGATGCATTGGCTGGCCGTTGATCCCTGTGAGCATGTTACACCAATTTGTCAAATCTCATTTTTAAACAGATGTAAGGCAGTAGGAGCGTAGATGAGATTGTTTGGCACCTATTGTTAGAACTCTGTTAGCTTTTTTTCCCCGGTAAGTAACTCCATTGGCTTAATGGAAGGCAGGTTATTATGCTACAATTTTCATTGCTGCAAGCATGGGATGTCTGGTTCCTTGAAGAAAACTAACCCATTAGCTTAAGCCTATAGTTAGTTGCTAGAGAGTATCCCGACCAATGACTAAGCTCTAAACAACAGTTTTAAATACGATGTTATAATCCGCCTATCCCTGACCTCAAGTTTTTACTAGATTGATTAAGTTTTTTATTCTCCTGAGGAAGTCATCCTAGCTGTCTATTTGAGGAGCAGTTTATGAATGAAATGACCAATTCGTTCACAAGTAGAATTGTGCTTTTATCTGTAAGATCAGATATTTCTATTTCTATGCATGTATATATTTTCTTCTGTTCCGCATCTATGGTGTAAAGCACCAGCTCCGTAAATTCGTCTGTGTTTGAGTCCCGAGTCCTGACCATTTATGGGTTTTGTGACAAGTCTACAAACTGAGAAATGTTTAGATGTTTCTGGCCATTTGAACAGGATGAGGCTGGGTCATTGATAATGGTTTTTTATGACAGACTCTTGGCAATTGCATCGCTGAAGATCGCAGGCAAAAGCTATCTAGATACCGGAATAAGAAGACAAAAAGGAATTTCAGCAGGAAAATCAAGGTAATTTATTAGCAGTTTTTCTCGGCTATGCTTTTAGTATCATTTCCATCAGTTGCACCATTAGTTGTTTGCTCGGGCAGTATCTCATGTAACCTCCAGAAGCGAAGGTGCAGGATTGTGACACAGGTGTGTGCTTAGTACTTATTGATAGTTAAAAAATAAAGAAAAAGAAAAATAGTAAACGAGAGGAAGAGGGGAAGTGGGGATTTTGTATTTTTGTGTATATTTATATGTGCATAATTCTCAGCGATGCAATTGCCGATAAGTTGTGGCTGTCCTGGGTTGTGTGGTATTGAGGAAATTGTTTCTCACCGGATCACAAATGGCTTTTCTTTCTTTCAGTATACTTGCAGGAAGGCTCTGGCTGACAGTCAGCCAAGGATTCGAGGAAGGTTTGCAAAGACAGACGAATCTGACTCTGCTAAGAAGCAATAACTGTTTAATTGAAGGATGATTGTCGAATTAGAATGAAAGAGATGGGTGGAAGTGTAAGCCTGGCTGGCATAACATTAGTTGAAAGCTTGAACAGGTTTTGCTGAATAAGCTAGAACGTCAACGCCTGCAAAATAGCTTATTAGCTGCAATAATCTCCTTTGTAGATATCTACAAGTCAGAGTGGAGTTGTATATATTGTTTGTTTAATAGAAGAATTCTAACCAATTTGATGCCAGTGACAGTTGAATTCCCATGAAATGTGCTATACTTGATCATGCCGGGCGTCCAGTTCAGTATGGGTCCAACTAATCCACTGTCCTTGGAAGTGTATTGGCTTTGAATTAGAAAGAATTAGGCCAATCTAAGTGCAAAGCCGAAGCCTACAGGGGAGTTGAGGCCCAACCCTAGCATTGTACTCAAAATGAGAAAGACATAATTAGAGACCCGGAAAACTGTTGCGCGTTTAGAAACTCCATTTCCATCATCTCCAAAGTAGACGCCCAAAAAGGGGTCTGAACCGACAACACGAGCGTTCAAAATCCTCCAACCCAACCTGATCAGATTACTTTGGCATTGCATTCCCGCAACTTGGCCATCAAACGGGGATAACACTAGAAGGGGCTCTTTGTGCCACAAGCCAGTCACAGTGTATCGCATAATCTGCATTATTGTTCAGAGCACATCACTTTTAAAGGAGAGAGAGAGAGAGAGAGAGAGAGAGAGAGAGACCCATAACCCTAGCTAATGCCACCTTGCTTGCTTGCAAAAATGCAGTTGTTTGCCTCGATGGTATTCTATGCCCTTTTACGGTTCACATGATCTAACAAACCTCTCCAATTTTAGGGCAGGCCATGACCATATCCATATCCATATACATCCAACTTCCAAGCCCAATCAATTGGCCGAAATTAAATACATGATGTATCGAACTCAAAGCCTCTGGTATTGTACCATCATTTCTTAGTTGAGTCACCGATGTATGCATACTACGAGTATTTTCTCATGGCCTGCATCCACACACAAACCATTCCTAGCACTCTGACTCAACATTTGTTACTTAGCCAGCCACCTTCAAAATTCACCACTGGCCCAACAAACATTTACAACCCCGAGTTCCCACCTTTGTCCCCCACCCATCTCCTCTGTTATATGCTGCAGCCTCTTCCCTTTCCTCTTCTTTGTGCGTTTGAAAAGTCAGTCAACCACCTTTACTCCCAACTGTTTTCAGTCAGTCAAATCTCAGTAATCAAACTTTGGTAGCAAACTCTATATCCTCTCACCCGAAATAAGCCAGCAGATTTGGCTTACCCACATCCAAATTCGCCAACTCTACCTAGACTAGACTAGAAGCTTCTCTGAATATTAAATGCTTAAAAAAGAAAAAAACACACACACACACACACGTGGAATTCATAAGTTTGTCGACGTTGTCTGAAAAATGAGACCTTTCCACCATGCCGATCGGAGCTCCAACAATCTTCACCTTCTTCGCAACTGGATATATGAGATTGTGTAATGAACAATGACATGGTTCTTGAACTCTTGATATGAACACAGTATGTGAACCACGGAAAATGCCGAAAATATCCCAACAAGAAAAATGTTGAAATTTCAACATTTCCGTGTTACAGTTCTCTTCCATACCAGTTCTTTCTTATTAACCACCCCCACCTTAAACCACGACGCCCCCAATTATATTACACTAATTACCCCCCCTCTTCCCCCCTCCCAAAAAAAAAAAAAGAAGAAGAAAAAGAAAACAACAAATTAATAAACCCCTGAATTTGTACCACAGGATAATCTCTAACCACTCCTCAATTAGGTGGAAGTTAAAGCATCAAACACAAGATCACGTGAGATTAAATCCTAAACTTTAGTCTCTTTTGATCGATCCATGGATGTCATCCCCCATTTCAGCACCATCTCACTGCACCCCCACCCCCTGGCCAGCTCCCTCCTTCTTCCTAAGTTGATTTCCGTCATCCTCCAGCCACATACCTCTTCCTCCTAATGTTGACCGACTCATTGGGTCCACATACGCGAAGCAAATTCAGCAGCGTTGGTTGATAAAACATTGGTTAATGATGGTGCTTCCTNTGGCCAGCTCCCTCCTTCTTCCTAAGTTGATTTCCGTCATCCTCCGGCCACATACCTCTTCCTCCTAATGTTGACCGACTCATTGGGTCCACATAGGCGAAGCAAATTCAGCAGCGTTGGTTGATAAAACATTGGTTAATGATGGTGCTTCCTTCCTGGGAGTAGGTTAGCTTTTGTGGCCCCCGACGGATTTTTAATATAAACATGGAAAGCAAGGCAAGTACACCTAGGAAAAGGTATTTGCCATATTTGTATTGTAAACAAAAAGATTTTAATGTTTTTGTCACCATACCATAATCAAACCTAGTTCCAAAAAATAAAGAAAAAANAAAGCAAGGCAAGTACACCTAGGAAAAGGTATTTGCCATATTTGTATTGTAAACAAAAAGATATTAATGTTTTTGTCACCATACCATAATCAAACCTAGTTCCAAAAAATAAAGAAAAAAAAGCCAACTTTTTCATTGGTTATATTCTAATCCCCGCTCAGTAAAATTTAGCATCTATTCTTTAAAAACATCATCTTTGTCCTCTCTTCTCATTCATATGTGCCATCCATCCTAAGTCAGCCGGAGATCTATCACTATCACTATCGGCTCTTCTGCAGCTTCTCATTGCTTCAGGACCCGTACGTCTGTCTTTTGCTTCTTCCACACCACAAAATCTGTCCCCCAAAATTAACTCTATTTTTCGACAACACAGCACAAACTGCACCCATTTGGGAGAAAAATGATCCACCCAGCACCCCCATCTCCGGCGAAAAACCCCGGCTATAAAACCAACCAACCATCTTTGGACTCCATTTTATCAACAAACAAATCAGTCAAAAGGACATAATAAGAGAATTCAAATATTTGGTTTTATTACTCCAGACCTGACACACATTAATAATAATAGTATATTTGTAAAAAAATCTCTTTGGACCCTGGTTCTCAGAGGTTTTTAAGAGATCAGCACTGCCATTGTGACCTTTCCTATTAAAGCACTCATCTAACCAAAAATCTTTGCCAGCAAAATGGTACATGCTGAGAAAGCCACAAGACAAATCTAACTCGAATTGAACTACATATAATCTAATTCGATGTGCAAAATTAAAATGAAATTATAAAGACTACCCTCTTTTGAAGAAAAAAAAAATTCATGCATAAAAGAATAATTTATGTCCCACTATCCATGTAAGTTTTATTCCGACTTTCTCGGAACACACTTTGTTACCATCATACTCTGCAAGAGAAGAAAAGCATAGCCATAAAAGATCCATCCATGCCTAACATGAAGTCGTCTAAGCCATGTCTGCAACAGATTGCCACCATGCTCACCAACTCAGGATTACACTCCAAGCACGTCAGGCGCAAGTTAGNCCGAAAAACCCCGGCTATAAAACCAACCAACCATCTTTGGACTCCATTTTATCAGCAAACAAATCAGTCAAAAGGACATAATAAGAGAATTCAAATATTTGGTTTTATTACTCCAGACCTGACACACATTAATAATAATAGTATATTTGTAAAAAAATCTCTTTGGACCCTGGTTCTCAGAGGTTTTTAAGAGATCAGCACTGCCATTGTGACCTTTCCTATTAAAGCACTCATCTAACCAAAAATCTTTGCCAGCAAAATGGTACATGCTGAGAAAGCCACAAGACAAATCNTACACTCCACTCTTTCTCTATTGGGGCATACTAGTTGAAATTCTCATAACCTTTTTACATACTTTTACAGCTCAACTCCATAGTCCAATATTCCTCCATTAAGCTTTTATATATCAGACTACCTTGAAAACTATTTGACCTTTGTGATTAATATTAACTTATACTTGTGTAAAGATCGAGGAATCCCCTGAGCTGGTGGATTTTCCTTTTACTATACAAGAGCTCCTCGGCTTTCACATTTTGCATCTACCACCAAATTAAGTTCACTCTCTACTCCCTCCTTCATTTACGGCCGCCGGCATAACACGATAATACGTAGATATATGCGAAATGAAAAAACAATAGAGTATGTCTCTATGTAAGAATCAATCTTTAATTAGATTCAGAGGCGAAGAACTTTTTTCTTCACGAGTTGTAGGGAATTAGGTATGTAAGAAAATATTGGAGCTAAACTATAAATATTAGTAGTGATGGATTTTTGTGGTCATTTTTTGATTGTAATTATGAGTTAACAAGCCATTCATTTGTTTCCATATATACATCTCCTCTCTTATAGTAAAATTGCAGGTGGGGGATGGATTCTCATCTTACGTACAGATGATCCAGAATGTCCATGCTTATTTCAGATTGACAATGAACGCAAGTAATATTAGTTAGAACCCGTCATAATTCATTTAATAGTAGTGATAAATTAAATTGAATTGAATACAATGAAAATGGTAAAGCCTGCATCAAGTAAAGATGGATTAAGAATTAACTTAAACTTATTAGGCACCACAAAGATGCTGTATACTCTATTCAGCAACGCATGATGAGAATTTTGTCTTTTTATTCACTTTTCAACATTGTTATAATTCAATTTTTGATTGAATTCTTTATGTTTCAATGGTAAGTTACCATTTTTTATCGTAAATTCAAGAGCATTCATTTTATATATGAGCAAGTTTTAACTAATATGTGTATGACAATTAAATATATTTTTAGAGAAAATCTAAATTTAGAACGCCCCTTCACAGTTCAATATATATATATATATATATATATTTATATATATACATACATACGGGCGTCGTCAAGGATGATAACTAGGAAAAAATATTAAATTAATGATTAATTAATTAGAAGCCATTGTGGTAGTAGTATGCTATGCTTAGTGGACATTATTAACTCAAGGGTTGGCCGCCATTACCACTGGAATCAACTACTTTCCATATCAAACGATCTAATTACATTATTACATACAAATACGACACAACGTCATAACTCGGCTAACAAAGTCGCAAAAAAAAAAAATTACATTACATGGATGTATATATCACTGTTGTAATTAACAATCAATTATCATAATGAAAATAATTTATTAATAATGTAGTGAATAAGAGTCTGAATAATTGCACAATAAAAATTTATAATTAGGCAACACGAAAAATCAATGATTGTCTTTGATAAGAAAAGATGATCGACTCTTTGCAATATTGCAGCTCCTAACAAAGATGGAAAATGCCTAACACCCACTCAAACTCATTAAGGTGTCTAAAATTCTTCTTCACAATAAATTTTTAACGTACATCATCGACATATCTCTATTATAATAAAAATTAATTATTATAATTTTCTAACAATGAATCTTGAAAAGAATTTTAAAAGAGAGAATCATACAACTTATAAGAGGGGGAGGGGGAGGGCACATAAAAAATCATTTACTGTATTTGATAATGAATGGTTCCATCAATTCTTAGTTTGTATAATCTTGAGGGAATCAAGATTGAACAATTTGACAAAAACTAATTAATTTCTTTACAACAAGTCTTTAAAATAAGAGATAAAAGCTATCTCAAATGATGAGAAAAAATTGTAAGACTCACTCTAATTTTTTTAATTTAAAAATATGCATTAAAATGTCAAGCTCAAGCAATAGAATGCAGAAAAAAATTGGTCTAAATCAATAAGTTGTCCAAAATATGCCAAGAGAAATATAATTACGGACCCATCAAGAAAAGAAAAGGGAGAAAAAAAAAGACTTTTGTTATGTTGTTTTATTATTATTATTATTATTATTACAATTACAAAATTAGGAGGATCCATCAATATTAAACTTCTCAATTCTCTCATCAAATCCTAAATGAAGACCCCCGGAGGAAGGAACCATTCTTTTCCAACCCCAACCCCTTTCTCGCTCCTCTATTTCTCTCTCTTCATTACGGCTGGCTGCTTCTGTTATGTTCTGTTCTGTTGCTACTGTATTCTTCGCTCTGTTCCTTTTTGGACAGCTATAAAGAGGATCCGTTCCCCGTTGAAACATCTCTACGTCAATTTTTAGTTTTGGGTTGGAAACACAANCTGTTCTGTTCTGTTCTGTTGCTACTGTATTCTTCGCTCTGTTCCTTTTTGGACAGCTATAAANTATTGTTTGGGCTATACCAGGGAAGCACTGCCCAGCTTGGCCGGCCATTGTCCTTGATCCGGAAACACAAGCGCCCCAGCAAGTTCTGAGTTTTAGGGTTGCTGGTGCTGTTTGCGTGATGTTTTTTGGTTACTCTGGGAATGGAACACAGAGGGTATGNGTCACTATATTTTTATATACTGACTACAATATACAAAACATTATAATATCGTATTTTATCTTTCATCGTCTCATGAGCAGTTAGAGAGAGAGCCCTGTTCGTCGAACAGAGATCCCTATTCAGACACCTCTCTGCTACCTATTTTTCGATCGTTTTCATCGGGAAACAATTTTTCCTCCTAATTTTCTCTCGGTTTGCCGTTCTGAGGATTCGATTCNAACTCGAATTGAACTACATATAATCTAATTCGATGTGCAAAATTAAAATGAACTTATAAAGACTACCCTCTTTTGAAGAAAAAAAAAATTCATGCATAAAAGAAGAATTTATGTCCCACTATCCATGTAAGTTTTATTCCGACTTTCTCGGAACACACTTTGNAAGAGGATCCGTTCCCCGTTGAAACATCTCTACGTCAATTTTTAGTTTTGGGTTGGAAACACAAGAGTCTATAGAGAAGCTACAAAATGTATGCAGAGACTGGCCTTCTGTTCCCTTATTTTCAGAACTTCTCTCAAGAAGTGCAACAGCTTGAAGACTTCTTTGGCTATCAGAAACCTAATGCTTCAATGATGGTACATACATACTTCTCTATCTTCTTTCACCTCTGTGTCTCTCCGTTTTCGGTGAATCTGCTGGATCAGCATTCGTTCGATTTTTTTTGCACCTAGAATTTTGAGTTTCAATACTTGATTGTTCGAGGGTTAGGGTAGGATTCTCTCGCTGATTGAAATGGGTATTTGACTTATGCTTTGTTTTGGTGGAAAATTCAATTGATTTCTGACCTTCAGAGTTCTTTGACTACTTTTGTTGTGGGTCTCATTTTTTTTTTNCTATACATACACTCGTTGTATCTCTATAAATCATTCCAAAAAATTTTGCGTAAGAATTATCACTATATTTTTATATACTGACTACAATATACAAAACATTATAATATCGTATTTTATCTTTCATCGTCTCATGAGCAGTGAGAGAGAGAGAGAGAGAGAGAGAGCCCTGTTCGTCGAACAGAGATCCCTATTCAGACACCTCTCTGCTACCNAGAGGAGCAAAATTCAAAATTTGGAAAAATTATTTCTTTATTCATGGTTTCTCAGCATGCAAAGTGAACATGGAGATGAAAAAAGAAAAAAAGATGAGCTAAAGAAGGAAAACTGAAACTTCAAATAATTAATATTCAAATTTTCAGTTTTTTTTCAAATATTATTGACAATTATCTCAGCAACCAGACAGACATACATGCTTAGCGATTCAGTTCTGTGTGCTGGATAGTGAAAAGGAAAATAAAGAGAGTCGAAAAGAATGTCACAATCTTAAGTTTCGGGTTGTCTACTCCCTTTTCCAATTTTCTTCTGTGGAAAGGACATAATTGACCATGGATTTGTGTTTCCCTTTTACTTCTTTCTTAAGGATATGTAAACAGTATTTTCAGATAGTTTTTCAAATCTTATGCCAACTTGTGTTAAGGATTTACTTTTCACTGCACTTACAAAGATTAAAGAGGAAAAGTTGGGCAAAAGCAAAGCTAACCCAACTTTCTTCTTGTTATTCCATTGGCTTTATTATTTTGGGGGGGTGGAGAATGGGTGCGAAGGATACTAGTTTTGGGGAAAAAAGATCATCCTTGGTNCAAAAGCAAAGCTAACCCAACTTTCTTCTTGTTATTCCATTGGCTTTATTATTTTGGAGGGGTGGAGAATGGGTGCGAAGGATACTAGTTTTGGGGAAAAAAGATCATCCTTGGTAAAGTTGAACTTGATCTTTGTCCCTCTTGGGTTTTGGACTTCTCGTTACTTCTGAGGTTCTCATTAATAGTTGCACTGTATATCTGCTTCTTATGAACATCAGCTCTGTGGAAATTTTGGCATGTGTTGGGTTTGCTAAAATTTATGACTGAAATCCTGACAACATTTATTTACTGTTAATGATTCTGTCAAATTTTTTCCATTTTTTAGCTAAATAACTAGATGTTTGTATAGTGCCATATTTTTCCATGTTTTCCCTCCCCCTTCTTTCGTGGCATGATGATAAATGGGGTGAAATTCTAGGAAAGTGGCCTAGTGTAGCTATCTTTACCCAACTTTATGGACAAATATGGAAACTATCCTCTGCACTACTAATCTAGGATGTGAAATTTTTTAATGGTGAGGTTGATTTGAGGAATATCATTAATATATGTTAAAATGTCTCATAGTTTGATAGATTTTGCCAAATCTAGACCCCAGCTGTTTTGTTAGAATGTGAAATATCATAAATACGTACACGCATGTATGAATGTCCGTATGAATACTTTGATGAATCGCTCTAATCAGTACTGTTTTGGCACGTGTTATTTTCATACTTGGAACTTTTTTTCTAATACAGTGTAATATGGTTCAGACGTCCACTATTTTGGAATATGACCTTGGGGGAGAAGGGGATCTCTTCAAAGCTCCAGAACCTATTATTGAAGCATCAGGAGTGGGCCTTGATCCCATGATGGCTGCCATTTCAATGACCTCTTGTGGAGATGTCATTAACCCCCAAGCACTCAAGGTTACAGATCTGGAATCAATTCAGAGTGAACAGCTTCTGAGTGAGGTTTTCTATGAATGCAAGAAGGATCTATTAGCAAAAGAAGCTACAGAAACACCACTCTCGGAGGTCATGGACATCAAAATTCCTGCAACAAGGACAGATGACAACCCAATTGCAGAAGAAAAGTTACTTCCTCAGGGACCTCTCCAGAAAAGTGTTAGCTCAGGGTGTTTAAGCTCAATGGAGTGGATACAAGGGGCTCCAATGAGGCCAAATTTTCTGGATTTTTCTGGACTGGACTTTGGAGCTGTTTATGGAATGCGAAGGGCATTCAGTGAAGGAGACATGAAGGTCAATTTTATATGCTCTCTTGCATTGTTATCTCATCTCTGTCCATCGTGCTTTTATCTGTATCAATATTTAGCTCTCTTATCCCATTTGTCTCCAAGCCAATTTAGTGGCCTTAAGGACATATGAACATGAAATGGCACCACATCTACCTTTGAGAAAGGAAAAGGTATAAAAATAGGAGGAAACATGACCAAAAGCATATGACAACATGACAAATGTTGACAAAATGGTAAGGGATAGTCATTTCGAAATTTGTAAAAAGGTTGACATGATTGAGACTTTGTTCTACTATTTCTTTATCCTAGATTAGGGTTCACGTATGCTTGCTGTTGTATCTATGCTACTCACTTCTGGGGAGATACCAGAAGTTGTAAGACACAGAAACCTGAAAGGCAATAAGGAGACCTGGTCTATTCTTCACAATTTTTGTCAGCAGAACAACGTAAATAGGCAAAAATGGATGCATTGGCTGGCCGTTGATCCCTGTGAGCATGTTACACCAATTTGTCAAATCTCATTTTTGAACAGATGTAAGGCAGTAGGAGCGTAGATGAGATTGTTTGGCACCTATTGTTAGAACTCTGTTAGCTTTTTTTCCCCGGTAAGTAACTCCATTGGCTTAATGGAAGGCAGGTTATTATGCTACAATTTTCATTGCTGCAAGCATGGGATGTCTGGTTCCTTGAAGAAAACTAACCCATTAGCTTAAGCCTATAGTTAGTTGCTAGAGAGTATCCCGACCAATGACTAAGCTCTAAACAACAGTTTTAAATACGATGTTATAATCCGCCTATCCCTGACCTCAAGTTTTTACTAGATTGATTAAGTTTTTTATTCTCCTGAGGAAGTCATCCTAGCTGTCTATTTGAGGAGCAGTTTATGAATGAAATGACCAATTCGTTCACAAGTAGAATTGTGCTTTTATCTGTAAGATCAGATATTTCTATTTCTATGCATGTATATATTTTCTTCTGTTCCGCATCTATGGTGTAAAGCACCAGCTCCGTAAATTCGTCTGTGTTTGAGTCCCGAGTCCTGACCATTTATGGGTTTTGTGACAAGTCTACAAACTGAGAAATGTTTAGATGTTTCTGGCCATTTGAACAGGATGAGGCTGGGTCATTGATAATGGTTTTTTATGACAGACTCTTGGCAATTGCATCGCTGAAGATCGCAGGCAAAAGCTATCTAGATACCGGAATAAGAAGACAAAAAGGAATTTCAGCAGGAAAATCAAGGTAATTTATTAGCAGTTTTTCTCGGCTATGCTTTTAGTATCATTTCCATCAGTTGCACCATTAGTTGTTTGCTCGGGCGGTATCTCATGTAACCTCCAGAAGCGAAGGTGCAGGATTGTGACACAGGTGTGTGCTTAGTACTTATTGATAGTTAAAAAATAAAGAAAAAGAAAAATAGTAAACGAGAGGAAGAGGGGAAGTGGGGATTTTGTATTTTTGTGTATATTTATATGTGCATAATTCTCAGCGATGCAATTGCCGATAAGTTGTGGCTGTCCTGGGTTGTGTGGTATTGAGGAAATTGTTTCTCACCGGATCACAAATGGCTTTTCTTTCTTTCAGTATACTTGCAGGAAGGCTCTGGCTGACAGTCAGCCAAGGATTCGAGGAAGGTTTGCAAAGACAGACGAATCTGACTCTGCTAAGAAGCAATAACTGTTTAATTGAAGGATGATTGTCGAATTAGAATGAAAGAGATGGGTGGAAGTGTAAGCCTGGCTGGCATAACATTAGTTGAAAGCTTGAACAGGTTTTGCTGAATAAGCTAGAACGTCAACGCCTGCAAAATAGCTTATTAGCTGCAATAATCTCCTTTGTAGATATCTACAAGTCAGAGTGGAGTTGTATATATTGTTTGTTTAATAGAAGAATTCTAACCAATTTGATGCCAGTGACAGTTGAATTCCCATGAAATGTGCTATACTTGATCATGCCGGGCGTCCAGTTCAGTATGGGTCCAACTAATCCACTGTCCTTGGAAGTGTATTGGCTTTGAATTAGAAAGAATTAGGCCAATCTAAGTGCAAAGCCGAAGCCTACAGGGGAGTTGAGGCCCAACCCTAGCATTGTACTCAAAATGAGAAAGACATAATTAGAGACCCGGAAAACTGTTGCGCGTTTAGAAACTCCATTTCCATCATCTCCAAAGTAGACGCCCAAAAAGGGGTCTGAACCGACAACACGAGCGTTCAAAATCCTCCAACCCAACCTGATCAGATTACTTTGGCATTGCATTCCCGCAACTTGGCCATCAAACGGGGATAACACTAGAAGGGGCTCTTTGTGCCACAAGCCAGTCACAGTGTATCGCATAATCTGCATTATTGTTCAGAGCACATCACTTTTAAAGGAGAGAGAGAGAGAGAGAGAGAGAGAGAGAGAGACCCATAACCCTAGCTAATGCCACCTTGCTTGCTTGCAAAAATGCAGTTGTTTGCCTCGATGGTATTCTATGCCCTTTTACGGTTCACATGATCTAACAAACCTCTCCAATTTTAGGGCAGGCCATGACCATATCCATATCCATATACATCCAACTTCCAAGCCCAATCAATTGGCCGAAATTAAATACATGATGTATCGAACTCAAAGCCTCTGGTATTGTACCATCATTTCTTAGTTGAGTCACCGATGTATGCATACTACGAGTATTTTCTCATGGCCTGCATCCACACACAAACCATTCCTAGCACTCTGACTCAACATTTGTTACTTAGCCAGCCACCTTCAAAATTCACCACTGGCCCAACAAACATTTACAACCCCGAGTTCCCACCTTTGTCCCCCACCCATCTCCTCTGTTATATGCTGCAGCCTCTTCCCTTTCCTCTTCTTTGTGCGTTTGAAAAGTCAGTCAACCACCTTTACTCCCAACTGTTTTCAGTCAGTCAAATCTCAGTAATCAAACTTTGGTAGCAAACTCTATATCCTCTCACCCGAAATAAGCCAGCAGATTTGGCTTACCCACATCCAAATTCGCCAACTCTACCTAGACTAGACTAGAAGCTTCTCTGAATATTAAATGCTTAAAAAAGAAAAAAACACACACACACACACACGTGGAATTCATAAGTTTGTCGACGTTGTCTGAAAAATGAGACCTTTCCACCATGCCGATCGGAGCTCCAACAATCTTCACCTTCTTCGCAACTGGATATATGAGATTGTGTAATGAACAATGACATGGTTCTTGAACTCTTGATATGAACACAGTATGTGAACCACGGAAAATGCCGAAAATATCCCAACAAGAAAAATGTTGAAATTTCAACATTTCCGTGTTACAGTTCTCTTCCATACCAGTTCTTTCTTATTAACCACCCCCACCTTAAACCACGACGCCCCCAATTATATTACACTAATTACCCCCCCTCTTCCCCCCTCCCAAAAAAAAAAAAAGAAGAAGAAAAAGAAAACAACAAATTAATAAACCCCTGAATTTGTACCACAGGATAATCTCTAACCACTCCTCAATTAGGTGGAAGTTAAAGCATCAAACACAAGATCACGTGAGATTAAATCCTAAACTTTAGTCTCTTTTGATCGATCCATGGATGTCATCCCCCATTTCAGCACCATCTCACTGCACCCCCACCCCCTGGCCAGCTCCCTCCTTCTTCCTAAGTTGATTTCCGTCATCCTCCGGCCACATACCTCTTCCTCCTAATGTTGACCGACTCATTGGGTCCACATAGGCGAAGCAAATTCAGCAGCGTTGGTTGATAAAACATTGGTTAATGATGGTGCTTCCTTCCTGGGAGTAGGTTAGCTTTTGTGGCCCCCGACGGATTTTTAATATAAACATGGGAAGCAAGGCAAGTACACCTAGGAAAAGGTATTTGCCATATTTGTATTGTAAACAAAAAGATTTTAATGTTTTTGTCACCATACCATAATCAAACCTAGTTCCAAAAAATAAAGAAAAAAAAGCCAACTTTTTCATTGGTTATATTCTAATCCCCGCTCAGTAAAATTTAGCATCTATTCTTTAAAAACATCATCTTTGTCCTCTCTTCTCATTCATATGTGCCATCCATCCTAAGTCAGCCGGAGATCTATCACTATCACTATCGACTCTTCTGCAGCTTCTCATTGCTTCAGGACCCGTACGTCTGTCTTTTGCTTCTTCCACACCACAAAATCTGTCCCCCAAAATTAACTCTATTTTTCGACAACACAGCACAAACTGCACCCATTTGGGAGAAAAATGATCCACCCAGCACCCCCATCTCCGGCGAAAAACCCCGGCTATAAAACCAACCAACCATCTTTGGACTCCATTTTATCAACAAACAAATCAGTCAAAAGGACATAATAAGAGAATTCAAATATTTGGTTTTATTACTCCAGACCTGACACACATTAATAATAATAGTATATTTGTAAAAAAATCTCTTTGGACCCTGGTTCTCAGAGGTTTTTAAGAGATCAGCACTGCCATTGTGACCTTTCCTATTAAAGCACTCATCTAACCAAAAATCTTTGCCAGCAAAATGGTACATGCTGAGAAAGCCACAAGACAAATCTAACTCGAATTGAACTACATATAATCTAATTCGATGTGCAAAATTAAAATGAAATTATAAAGACTACCCTCTTTTGAAGAAAAAAAAAATTCATGCATAAAAGAATAATTTATGTCCCACTATCCATGTAAGTTTTATTCCGACTTTCTCGGAACACACTTTGTTACCATCATACTCTGCAAGAGAAGAAAAGCATAGCCATAAAAGATCCATCCATGCCTAACATGAAGTCGTCTAAGCCATGTCTGCAACAGATTGCCACCATGCTCACCAACTCAGGATTACACTCCAAGCACGTCAGGCGCAAGTTAGCATTATACTATTTACATTTACAATCATAACGCCGACTCTCGCTCCCCTAGTCCAGTCATCCTTATTCGCTTCTCTCTATCTCTCTCCAACTTTCAGCACCTATACATACACTCGTTGTATCTCTATAAATCATTCCAAAAAATTTTGCGTAAGAATTATCACTATATTTTTATATACTGACTACAATATACAAAACATTATAATATCGTATTTTATCTTTCATCGTCTCATGAGCAGTGAGAGAGAGAGAGAGAGAGAGAGAGCCCTGTTCGTCGAACAGAGATCCCTATTCAGACACCTCTCTGCTACCTATTTTTCGATCGTTTTCATCGGGAAACAATTTTTCCTCCTAATTTTCTCTCGGTTTGCCGTTCTGAGGATTCGATTCTCATTCCAATTTTTTGTTTTTTTCTATAGAAAATTCCCTCTCTGTGTCTTACTCGCGTGTAAACCAAGTTTACTTTCTGTCCAACTTTGAAATTAGGGTTTCGGGTGGATAAAGTTGGGGGGTTTTGGTAAAATTGAGTGGTTTTTTTGTGCTGAGATTTTAGTTTAGAAGGAGTAAAGGTTTGACTAGGGGATATGATAATTAAACGGAACTTGAAATCAGCAATGCCGAGTCTGAAACGGTGTCGAGTCGGTGACTCGGTTGGTGAGGACGACGAAAATTCGGGGAATCCGAAGAAAAGGAAGGTAAAGAACGGCTATTATCCTCTGCATCTCCTCGGAGAGGTCGCCGCCGGTATAATTCCTTTCAATGGTTATGGACTCAGTCGCTTATTAGCCGCTGGTGGTGACGGTCGCTTGGCGGCGGCGAGGTGGTGTACAGAGGATGAGGTAGAATCTACATCGAATGCGGATGAGGGGATGAAAGAGAGCTGCGATCGGGTGCAGGAGACTTCACGGCCGCCTCTGGTGAGGACGTCGCGGGGGCGTGTTCAGGTACTCCCTTCTCGATTCAATGACTCAATTCTTGATAACTGGAAGAAAGAGAAGAGTAAACCTAATGCAAAAGGATCCAATTTGGACCCTGAATTCACACCTTATGAAGAAAAATTCAGCTTCAAAAACCCCAAAATACGCAGACAAATTGGAAATACAAAGCTTAATCACGACAAATTTGGCTATCAATGCCGGAAATTTCACCCATTGTTAGAGCAAGATAGAGAGGAGTTCGAGTGTCAGGGATTGAAAAGTTTTGACGTTAGAAAGTATTCTACATCACGGAGTTCATTAACATCACTGCATGAGCATTTGGCTGACAATGAGAGGTTTCCAAATGAGGAAGTAGAGGAAGCTATTGATTTGAGCCGCATTAATGGATTGTTGGAGGAGGAGAAGGAAGGGAGAAAAAATGGGGTATATGGGCCGGAGGATTTTGTTTCAGGTGATATTGTTTGGGCTATACCAGGGAAGCACTGCCCAGCTTGGCCGGCCATTGTCCTTGATCCGGAAACGCAAGCGCCCCAGCAAGTTCTGAGTTTTAGGGTGGTTGGTGCTGTTTGCGTGATGTTTTTTGGTTACTCTGGGAATGGAACACAGAGGGTATGACATACTTCTCTTCCCAAGCTTATTTGCTATTAGTTATACTTACTTACGTCCATATGGAAAGCCATAGGTCGTATAGTCTCAATAAATGTACTTATTAAGATTATGTGACGTTGATGACCAGGATTATGCATGGATTAAACGCGGGAAGATATTTCCATTTGTAGATCACGTAGACAGGTGTGTAATTATTTGGTTTGTTTGCTTGCATTTAATTTTCTGTGATATTGGGATTGGTAAAATTTTGTTTGGTTCAGGTTTCAGGGGCAGATTAACTTGAATGATAGCAAGCCCAGCGATCTTCGATCTGCCATAGAGGAGGCATTCCTTGCAGAAAAGGGCTTTAATGAAATGTTGATGGTCGAAATCAATGCCGCAGCTGGGAATCTAGATTATCTTGCATCTCTTCCTAGAGGGGTACTAGAGGCTACTGATTCGAATCAGGATCAGGAATGCAACTCCCAGAACCAGGCAAGTTGCATTACAGTGCAGGCTTCCGGTCTGTATCATCAGTATTTGGGCAACAGGCTTATATCAGTAACTTCAGGCATTTTCCCGGGATATTTTATATGAGAATGATATTGTGACACCGTCTATTATATTGGGCAGAGGGCATGAATTGTTTTATTAATCTTTATTTTAATTGATATAGAAATCCTGTTACAGTGGGTTTCAATTTGCCTGCAACACAAATAAATGGCTTTGTTTTCCGAAGTAAAGGTTGGTCCTTCTGATATTGGGTTTACAAAGTACAATTTCTTTGTGCAGGAAGAATTTAAAAAGAAAGACGCACGGCTCTGTGAAGGCTGTGGTTTGAGTATCTTGCCTAAAATTCCCAGGGAAATGAATGGTTCAACTTCTAGCAGCAATCTTTTATGTAATTCTTGTGCTCGGGTTCGTATGACTTGCCTCAATTGTTAGTTTTATTTCCCAAAATTGTCATCGCAATTGTCTGGATGCCAGATGTTCTTAATGAGAATATTCTTAATGAGAACTTGATTTTTCGTGGCAGTTAAAAAAACTAAAACATTATTGTGGCATATGCAAGAAAATTCGAAATCAATCAAACAGCGGAAGTTGGGTGAGGCAACCTACATCTAACCTATTGTTATGAATTCTATTTATATTTATTTTGCCTTCCTGTTGATAACGTCTGTAGTTTTCTCTAAATATTTGGGTGTTGGACTTTTTCTCTTGACTGAGTTAGGTACGTTGTGATGGTTGTAAAGTTTGGGTGCATGCTGAATGTGATAAAATTTCCAGCCATACCTTCAAGGTGTCCTCATCATACCCCCATCTCCTACATTTTTTTCAACATACACACACCTGTTTAAGTGCGTATTTGATGAATTTGAAGTTAGCTGATATGGGTTTTTACTGATTTCTAGGATCTGGGGACAACTGATTATTATTGTCCCGAATGCAAAGCAAAGTTTAACTTTGAATTGTCAGATTCAGAAAATTGGCAGCCTAAAGTCAAGTAAGTTGTCGTGTCTATTTGTTGGCAACTGCTAATGTAGCATTAAAGGCGAAATTGAATATTTTCTGTTGTATATCTAATGATGGTGGAGGTTTTGATCAGAAATAACAAAAAGAATGGCCAATTGATGCTGCCTGACAAGGTTATTGTTGTCTGCTCTGGAGTGGAAGGCACATATATTCCAAGCCTTCATTTGTAAGCATATATAGCTTCATGACACATTATTTGCATAAGCTTATAGTAGTATTTGTAACTAATGCTTCCTTATCTGCTCTATTGCATTCATTTTTTATGTCAATGTATTGTACTTGTTTGTTATTGTTCTCTCACCAGTATGGTCAAGCTCTTTTTCAATTTTTCTTTTTATCATGACGAACAAGGCCTTATGATGGCCAGACAGGATTAAGGAATTGGTAATTTTGTATCCAAACTGAATTGTTTTCATAAAATTCTTTATTTTCCCCCCGTAAATATTGCTTAAACTCCTTTCAAAAAAGGTACTCGTCTAAAAACTATTCTTTGTTTGCAACTTTCAATTTATAAATTTTCCAAAGTCGGTGCTATATTTTTTCCCAGTTTTTCATGGTTGTGAACCCAGCAGTAACATTTTAAAGGAATGAGAGCTTTGCTGGGATTTCAACGGAGTTAACTCACACATGGCATATAGTGTACTAAAATAGATACATGGAGTAGATTTGCTTGGGGTTTGATGTACCCTTATGTTTTTTTTCAAAAAAAAAAAATNTAGAACTCTGTTAGCTTTTTTTCCCCGGTAAGTAACTCCATTGGCTTAATGGAAGGCAGGTTATTATGCTACAATTTTCATTGCTGCAAGCATGGGATGTCTGGTTCCTTGAAGAAAACTAACCCATTAGCTTAAGCCTATAGTTAGTTGCTAGAGAGTATCCCGACCAATGACTAAGCTCTAAACAACAGTTTTAAATACGATGTTATAATCCGCCTATCCCTGACCTCAAGTTTTTACTAGATTGATTAAGTTTTTTATTCTCCTGAGGAAGTCATCCTAGCTGTCTATTTGAGGAGCAGTTTATGAATGAAATGACCAATTCGTTCACAAGTAGAATTGTGCTTTTATCTGTAAGATCAGATATTTCTATTTCTATGCATGTATATATTTTCTTCTGTTCCGCATCTATGGTGTAAAGCACCAGCTCCGTAAATTCGTCTGTGTTTGAGTCCCGAGTCCTGACCATTTATGGGTTTTGTGACAAGTCTACAAACTGAGAAATGTTTAGATGTTTCTGGCCATTTGAACAGGATGAGGCTGGGTCATTGATAATGGTTTTTTATGACAGACTCTTGGCAATTGCATCGCTGAAGATCGCAGGCAAAAGCTATCTAGATACCGGAATAAGAAGACAAAAAGGAATTTCAGCAGGAAAATCAAGGTAATTTATTAGCAGTTTTTCTCGGCTATGCTTTTAGTATCATTTCCATCAGTTGCACCATTAGTTGTTTGCTCGGGCAGTATCTCATGTAACCTCCAGAAGCGAAGGTGCAGGATTGTGACACAGGTGTGTGCTTAGTACTTATTGATAGTTAAAAAATAAAGAAAAAGAAAAATAGTAAACGAGAGGAAGAGGGGAAGTGGGGATTTTGTATTTTTGTGTATATTTATATGTGCATAATTCTCAGCGATGCAATTGCCGATAAGTTGTGGCTGTCCTGGGTTGTGTGGTATTGAGGAAATTGTTTCTCACCGGATCACAAATGGCTTTTCTTTCTTTCAGTATACTTGCAGGAAGGCTCTGGCTGACAGTCAGCCAAGGATTCGAGGAAGGTTTGCAAAGACAGACGAATCTGACTCTGCTAAGAAGCAATAACTGTTTAATTGAAGGATGATTGTCGAATTAGAATGAAAGAGATGGGTGGAAGTGTAAGCCTGGCTGGCATAACATTAGTTGAAAGCTTGAACAGGTTTTGCTGAATAAGCTAGAACGTCAACGCCCGCAAAATAGCTTATTAGCTGCAATAATCTCCTTTGTAGATATCTACAAGTCAGAGTGGAGTTGTATATATTGTTTGTTTAATAGAAGAATTCTAACCAATTTGATGCCAGTGACAGTTGAATTCCCATGAAATGTGCTATACTTGATCATGCCGGGCGTCCAGTTCAGTATGGGTCCAACTAATCCACTGTCCTTGGAAGTGTATTGGCTTTGAATTAGAAAGAATTAGGCCAATCTAAGTGCAAAGCCGAAGCCTACAGGGGAGTTGAGGCCCAACCCTAGCATTGTACTCAAAATGAGAACGACATAATTAGAGACCCGGAAAACCGTTGCGCGTTTAGAAACTCCATTTCCATCATCTCCAAAGTAGACGCCCAAAAAGGGTCTGAACCGACAACACGAGCGTTCAAAATCCTCCAACCCAACCTGATCAGATTANAGACATAATTAGAGACCCGGAAAACTGTTGCGCGTTTAGAAACTCCATTTCCATCATCTCCAAAGTAGACGCCCAAAAAGGGGTCTGAACCGACAACACGAGCGTTCAAAATCCTCCAACCCAACCTGATCAGATTACTTTGGCATTGCATTCCCGCAACTTGGCCATCAAAGGGGGATAACACTAGAAGGGGCTCTTTGTGCCACAAGCCAGTCACAGTGTATCGCATAATCTGCATTATTGTTCAGAGCACATCACTTTTAAAGGAGAGAGAGAGAGAGAGAGACCCATAACCCTAGCTAATGCCACCTTGCTTGCTTGCAAAAATGCAGTTGTTTGCCTCGATGGTATTCTATGCCCTTTTACGGTTCACATGATCTAACAAACCTCTCCAATTTTAGGGCAGGCCATGACCATATCCATATCCATATACATCCAACTTCCAAGCCCAATCAATTGGCCGAAATTAAATACATGATGTATCGAACTCAAAGCCTCTGGTATTGTACCATCATTTCTTAGTTGAGTCACCGATGTATGCATACTACGAGTATTTTCTCATGGCCTGCATCCACACACAAACCATTCCTAGCACTCTGACTCAACATTTGTTACTTAGCCAGCCACCTTCAAAATTCACCACTGGCCCAACAAACATTTACAACCCCGAGTTCCCACCTTTGTCCCCCACCCATCTCCTCTGTTATATGCTGCAGCCTCTTCCCTTTCCTCTTCTTTGTGCGTTTGAAAAGTCAGTCAACCACCTTTACTCCCAACTGTTTTCAGTCAGTCAAATCTCAGTAATCAAACTTTGGTAGCAAACTCTATATCCTCTCACCCGAAATAAGCCAGCAGATTTGGCTTACCCACATCCAAATTCGCCAACTCTACCTAGACTAGACTAGAAGCTTCTCTGAATATTAAATGCTTAAAAAAGAAAAAAACACACACACACACACACGTGGAATTCATAAGTTTGTCGACGTTGTCTGAAAAATGAGACCTTTCCACCATGCCGATCGGAGCTCCAACAATCGTCACCTTCTTCGCAACTGGATATATGAGATTGTGTAATGAACAATGACATGGTTCTTGAACTCTTGATATGAACACAGTATGTGAACCACGGAAAATGCCGAAAATATCCCAACAAGAAAAATGTTGAAATTTCAACATTTCCGTGTTACAGTTCTCTTCCATACCAGTTCTTTCTTATTAACCACCCCCACCTTAAACCACGACGCCCCCAATTATATTACACTAATTACCCCCCCTCTTCCCCCCTCCCAAAAAAAAAAAAAGAAGAAGAAAAAGAAAACAACAAATTAATAAACCCCTGAATTTGTACCACAGGATAATCTCTAACCACTCCTCAATTAGGTGGAAGTTAAAGCATCAAACACAAGATCACGTGAGATTAAATCCTAAACTTTAGTCTCTTTTGATCGATCCATGGATGTCATCCCCCATTTCAGCACCATCTCACTGCACCCCCACCCCCTGGCCAGCTCCCTCCTTCTTCCTAAGTTGATTTCCGTCATCCTCCGGCCACATACCTCTTCCTCCTAATGTTGACCGACTCATTGGGTCCACATAGGCGAAGCAAATTCAGCAGCGTTGGTTGATAAAACATTGGTTAATGATGGTGCTTCCTTCCTGGGAGTAGGTTAGCTTTTGTGGCCCCCGACGGATTTTTAATATAAACATGGAAAGCAAGGCAAGTACACCTAGGAAAAGGTATTTGCCATATTTGTATTGTAAACAAAAAGATATTAATGTTTTTGTCACCATACCATAATCAAACCTAGTTCCAAAAAATAAAGAAAAAAAAGCCAACTTTTTCATTGGTTATATTCTAATCCCCGCTCAGTAAAATTTAGCATCTATTCTTTAAAAACATCATCTTTGTCCTCTCTTCTCATTCATATGTGCCATCCATCCTAAGTCAGCCGGAGATCTATCACTATCACTATCGGCTCTTCTGCAGCTTCTCATTGCTTCAGGACCCGTACGTCTGTCTTTTGCTTCTTCCACACCACAAAATCTGTCCCCCAAAATTAACTCTATTTTTCGACAACACAGCACAAACTGCACCCATTTGGGAGAAAAATGATCCACCCAGCACCCCCATCTCCGCCGAAAAACCCCGGCTATAAAACCAACCAACCATCTTTGGACTCCATTTTATCAGCAAACAAATCAGTCAAAAGGACATAATAAGAGAATTCAAATATTTGGTTTTATTACTCCAGACCTGACACACATTAATAATAATAGTATATTTGTAAAAAAATCTCTTTGGACCCTGGTTCTCAGAGGTTTTTAAGAGATCAGCACTGCCATTGTGACCTTTCCTATTAAAGCACTCATCTAACCAAAAATCTTTGCCAGCAAAATGGTACATGCTGAGAAAGCCACAAGACAAATCTAACTCGAATTGAACTACATATAATCTAATTCGATGTGCAAAATTAAAATGAAATTATAAAGACTACCCTCTTTTGAAGAAAAAAAAAATTCATGCATAAAAGAATAATTTATGTCCCACTATCCATGTAAGTTTTATTCCGACTTTCTCGGAACACACTTTGTTACCATCATACTCTGCAAGAGAAGAAAAGCATAGCCATAAAAGATCCATCCATGCCTAACATGAAGTCGTCTAAGCCATGTCTGCAACAGATTGCCACCATGCTCACCAACTCAGGATTACACTCCAAGCACGTCAGGCGCAAGTTAGCATTATACTATTTACATTTACAATCATAACGCCGACTCTCGCTCCCCTAGTCCAGTCATCCTTATTCGCTTCTCTCTATCTCTCTCCAACTTTCAGCACCTATACATACACTCGTTGTATCTCTATAAATCATTCCAAAAAATTTTGCGTAAGAATTATCACTATATTTTTATATACTGACTACAATATACAAAACATTATAATATCGTATTTTATCTTTCATCGTCTCATGAGCAGTGAGAGAGAGAGAGAGAGAGAGAGAGCCCTGTTCGTCGAACAGAGATCCCTATTCAGACACCTCTCTGCTACCTATTTTTCGATCGTTTTCATCGGGAAACAATTTTTCCTCCTAATTTTCTCTCGGTTTGCCGTTCTGAGGATTCGATTCTCATTCCAATTTTTTGTTTTTTTCTATAGAAAATTCCCTCTCTGTGTCTTACTCGCGTGTAAACCAAGTTTACTTTCTGTCCAACTTTGAAATTAGGGTTTCGGGTGGATAAAGTTGGGGGGTTTTGGTAAAATTGAGTGGTTTTTTTGTGCTGAGATTTTAGTTTAGAAGGAGTAAAGGTTTGACTAGGGGATATGATAATTAAACGGAACTTGAAATCAGCAATGCCGAGTCTGAAACGGTGTCGAGTCGGTGACTCGGTTGGTGAGGACGACGAAAATTCGGGGAATCCGAAGAAAAGGAAGGTAAAGAACGGCTATTATCCTCTGCATCTCCTCGGAGAGGTCGCCGCCGGTATAATTCCTTTCAATGGTTATGGACTCAGTCGCTTATTAGCCGCTGGTGGTGACGGTCGCTTGGCGGCGGCGAGGTGGTGTACAGAGGATGAGGTAGAATCTACATCGAATGCGGATGAGGGGATGAAAGAGAGCTGCGATCGGGTGCAGGAGACTTCACGGCCGCCTCTGGTGAGGACGTCGCGGGGGCGTGTTCAGGTACTCCCTTCTCGATTCAATGACTCAATTCTTGATAACTGGAAGAAAGAGAAGAGTAAACCTAATGCAAAAGGATCCAATTTGGACCCTGAATTCACACCTTATGAAGAAAAATTCAGCTTCAAAAACCCCAAAATACGCAGACAAATTGGAAATACAAAGCTTAATCACGACAAATTTGGCTATCAATGCCGGAAATTTCACCCATTGTTAGAGCAAGATAGAGAGGAGTTCGAGTGTCAGGGATTGAAAAGTTTTGACGTTAGAAAGTATTCTACATCACGGAGTTCATTAACATCACTGCATGAGCATTTGGCTGACAATGAGAGGTTTCCAAATGAGGAAGTAGAGGAAGCTATTGATTTGAGCCGCATTAATGGATTGTTGGAGGAGGAGAAGGAAGGGAGAAAAAATGGGGTATATGGGCCGGAGGATTTTGTTTCAGGTGATATTGTTTGGGCTATACCAGGGAAGCACTGCCCAGCTTGGCCGGCCATTGTCCTTGATCCGGAAACACAAGCGCCCCAGCAAGTTCTGAGTTTTAGGGTTGCTGGTGCTGTTTGCGTGATGTTTTTTGGTTACTCTGGGAATGGAACACAGAGGGTATGACATACTTCTCTTCCCAAGCTTATTTGCTATTAGTTATACTTACTTACGTCCATATGGAAAGCCATAGGTCGTATAGTCTCAATAAATGTACTTATTAAGATTATGTGACGTTGGTGACCAGGATTATGCATGGATTAAACGCGGGAAGATATTTCCATTTGTAGATCACGTAGACAGGTGTGTAATTATTTGGTTTGTTTGCTTGCATTTAATTTTCTGTGATATTGGGATTGGTAAAATTTTGTTTGGTTCAGGTTTCAGGGGCAGATTAACTTGAATGATAGCAAGCCCAGCGATCTTCGATCTGCCATAGAGGAGGCATTCCTTGCAGAAAAGGGCTTTAATGAAATGTTGATGGTCGAAATCAATGCCGCAGCTGGGAATCTAGATTATCTTGCATCTCTTCCTAGAGGGGTACTAGAGGCTACTGATTCGAATCAGGATCAGGAATGCAACTCCCAGAACCAGGCAAGTTGCATTACAGTGCAGGCTTCCGGTCTGTATCATCAGTATTTGGGCAACAGGCTTATATCAGTAACTTCAGGCATTTTCCCGGGATATTTTATATGAGAATGATATTGTGACACCGTCTATTATATTGGGCAGAGGGCATGAATTGTTTTATTAATCTTTATTTTAATTGATATAGAAATCCTGTTACAGTGGGTTTCAATTTGCCTGCAACACAAATAAATGGCTTTGTTTTCCGAAGTAAAGGTTGGTCCTTCTGATATTGGGTTTACAAAGTACAATTTCTTTGTGCAGGAAGAATTTAAAAAGAAAGACGCACGGCTCTGTGAAGGCTGTGGTTTGAGTATCTTGCCTAAAATTCCCAGGGAAATGAATGGTTCAACTTCTAGCAGCAATCTTTTATGTAATTCTTGTGCTCGGGTTCGTATGACTTGCCTCAATTGTTAGTTTTATTTCCCAAAATTGTCATCGCAATTGTCTGGATGCCAGATGTTCTTAATGAGAATATTCTTAATGAGAACTTGATTTTTCGTGGCAGTTAAAAAAACTAAAACATTATTGTGGCATATGCAAGAAAATTCGAAATCAATCAAACAGCGGAAGTTGGGTGAGGCAACCTACATCTAACCTATTGTTATGAATTCTATTTATATTTATTTTGCCTTCCTGTTGATAACGTCTGTAGTTTTCTCTAAATATTTGGGTGTTGGACTTTTTCTCTTGACTGAGTTAGGTACGTTGTGATGGTTGTAAAGTTTGGGTGCATGCTGAATGTGATAAAATTTCCAGCCATACCTTCAAGGTGTCCTCATCATACCCCCATCTCCTACATTTTTTTCAACATACACACACCTGTTTAAGTGCGTATTTGATGAATTTGAAGTTAGCTGATATGGGTTTTTACTGATTTCTAGGATCTGGGGACAACTGATTATTATTGTCCCGAATGCAAAGCAAAGTTTAACTTTGAATTGTCAGATTCAGAAAATTGGCAGCCTAAAGTCAAGTAAGTTGTCGTGTCTATTTGTTGGCAACTGCTAATGTAGCATTAAAGGCGAAATTGAATATTTTCTGTTGTATATCTAATGATGGTGGAGGTTTTGATCAGAAATAACAAAAAGAATGGCCAATTGATGCTGCCTGACAAGGTTATTGTTGTCTGCTCTGGAGTGGAAGGCATATATATTCCAAGCCTTCATTTGTAAGCATATATAGCTTCATGACACATTATTTGCATAAGCTTATAGTAGTATTTGTAACTAATGCTTCCTTATCTGCTCTATTGCATTCATTTTTTATGTCAATGTATTGTACTTGTTTGTTATTGTTCTCTCACCAGTATGGTCAAGCTCTTTTTCAATTTTTCTTTTTATCATGACGAACAAGGCCTTATGATGGCCAGACAGGATTAAGGAATTGGTAATTTTGTATCCAAACTGAATTGTTTTCATAAAATTCTTTATTTTCCCCCCGTAAATATTGCTTAAACTCCTTTCAAAAAAGGTACTCGTCTAAAAACTATTCTTTGTTTGCAACTTTCAATTTATAAATTTTCCAAAGTCGGTGCTATATTTTTTCCCAGTTTTTCATGGTTGTGAACCCAGCAGTAACATTTTAAAGGAATGAGAGCTTTGCTGGGATTTCAACGGAGTTAACTCACACATGGCATATAGTGTACTAAAATAGATACATGGAGTAGAGTTGCTTGGGGTTTGATGTACCCTTATGTTTTTTTTCAAAAAAAAAAAATCCATGTTCTTTCTTCTGCTATTGTTTTGCTCAAGATCAGCTTCAAAAGAGCTAATCAAGGCGGCCAAAAAATTTTCCTGTCAAAATTTGGCAGTTGGACTGCATATTAATTTTGTGAATGGAGAACTGCTATTATTTTTGTAAGTTTTTGAGAATTGTTGGCTTAATTTTAAGTAAGCGGAGAAGATTTTGGGCATTCATATGTCCTATTAAAGTGGCTAGCTGTGTGGGAAGTCCAAGCAAGGAACATAAAATATGTATTTAGAATTGTTTGTCTGTGTTTCATTGCATGATTATCAAAATAGGCACCAATAATTTAAGTACTTTAGATAACAAATAATATGGCCAAAAAATCTTAAATTTACATATACAATTTTTATTGTGGAAATCAATTCTTCCTCCCCCCTTCTGTCCTTTCTTTCATTGCAGAGTTGTGTGCAAGTGTGGGTCTTGTGGGACAGAGAAGCAGGCACTTAGCGAATGGGAGCGACATACAGGTTCCAAAGCGAAAAATTGGAAAGCTAGTGTCAGAGTGAAAGGTTCCTTGTTACCACTGGAACAATGGGTTTGTATCTGAGTTTGATCCTGTCATTTTGTGCAATTTAAATTTTCTTCCTCCATGTCTGTTTTTTCTTTCTTTAGAAGAATTGGTTGAAGTTAAATAACTATTCATCTCAAATCTGCAATTTCAATTTCGTAGTGTTATCTTCGACTCAGTTATTTTCCTTCCCATATTTTTTCCCCCCAAAAGATGATTGAACTTGAACTGATCAATAAGTGAGGTGTGTGCATCTAACAGAATATGATTTGACTTATGCAGATGCTGCAGCTGGCAGACTATCATGCACGTAGCCTTGTTTCTGTTAATTCTCTTAAACGCCCTTCTTTAAAAGCACGAAAACAGAAGTTGCTTACTTTTTTACAAGGTATACTCCTTCCTAAGCAGTTTTTTTCACTTTTTCTGGGTTGTTACATTTTTTCACTTTTTATGAGTTGTTACATTTTGCTGCACCTGCTGCCACACCAGTCAAGGAACTGACATTTTACTTATGTGACAGAGAAATATGAGCCTGTTAATTCCAAGTGGACAACAGAGCGGTGTGCTGTCTGTCGATGGGTTGAAGATTGGGACTATAACAAGATTATCATATGCAATAGGTATTCTCAATAAGGAGCTTATTGTGCTTGCGTGCACAACCTAAACGTGGTCCTCACACATTATAGCTGGCAATATAATCCTACCCTAGAATTTAAATCCAGCAATTGGATAATCCATCGGAGTTGTCCGAATAAAAAAATTATGGTCAGGCAATCTTGGGTCATCAAATTATGCTATTTCCCCAGCACTGACAAAGTTTCTGTCTCCAAGACTCTAGCCTGAACTAGATTGCCTGAGGTTTCTCATTACAGTTCCACCTTGTTTGTTTTTATTTTGCACCACAATATCCTTTGTCAAATAAATGTTAAAAGATTTCCATCATATTCTGAATCAGTATTATCAGAACCGGACCGGACCAGACCGGTCCGGTTTGATAAAAAGACCATCTGAGCAAGTAAACCGCTAAGGAACCGTAAAACCGGCCAATTTTGGAGAAAACCAGGGAACCGGATCACCAAATTTTAGCCCTTACTTTTGGGGCAATTTTAGCCCTAAATCACCAAATTCTTCCACCTTCTCTTTCATCTTCTCCAGTCTAGACGTACAACAGCTCAACACAGGCAAGGGAATTGATCTCCTTGGCTCAGCAACCCGAAGTCTCGAACTTAACCAAGGCAATCAGTTTCTCCCTTCTCCTTCCTTTCATTGTGGGCTTTTTCCGCCGACCGGCATTAACTTGTCACTGGACATTGAGGATTGGTGGAGAGGGGTGGTTTGAATTTTTTGACATGATTTAGAGTTGGTGTCTGAACAGAAGCTGGGTTGAATTGCCATCTCTCTCTCTCTCTCTCTCTCTCTCACACACACACACACCGATCACAGCACACACTCATCTCTCGCTACCCCTCACACACATAATTGATACATTTTAAAGTATAGAAATCTAATTGAATTTTTTTTTGTTGGGCAAACCTAATTGAATGAAATTTGCAAGTTTAATTAGGAATTTAAGGTACTAATTTGTGGAATTATGCTTTAATTCATGTGAATGTGATTGGGATTGCGAATTTTGTTGGTAATGTGATTATGATTGTGGATTTATTATACTTTTTTTATTATATGATTGATCTGATCAGCTGACCCAACAGTTGAACTAGTGAGCCATTGACTCGGTCCTGGTTCGATATTCAGTCCGATTCTGATAACTATGTTTTGAATTTAAAACTTTTGCCAAGTTATATAGCAAAACACTGTCACCTACACATTGCACCAAGTCTTCAAGTAATCGGATCATAAGATAAATTTTGCTGATTTTTTCGATTTTAGATGTCAAATAGCTGTCCATCAAGAATGCTATGGGGCAAGAAATGTTAGGGACTTCACTTCTTGGGTTTGTCGGTCCTGCGAGACACCTAATATTGAACGGGAGTGTTGCCTCTGTCCTGTGAAAGGTATGTAACTTTATGCCGACTGGAATCTCACGAGTCATGAGTTGTTCATTTAATTATTCCTATATGTTTAGTTATAATATCGATTTCCTGGGGTGATTTTGTTTCTTTTTTCTTCTGCTTTTTTTATTTTGGGTGTGTGTGTNAAAGTACAATTTCTTTGTGCAGGAAGAATTTAAAAAGAAAGACGCACGGCTCTGTGAAGGCTGTGGTTTGAGTATCTTGCCTAAAATTCCCAGGGAAATGAATGGTTCAACTTCTAGCAGCAATCTTTTATGTAATTCTTGTGCTCGGGTTCGTATGACTTGCCTCAATTGTTAGTTTTATTTCCCAAAATTGTCATCGCAATTGTCTGGATGCCAGATGTTCTTNTTGGGGGGGTGTCCTTTCTCTCCAGTGTCTATTAAACCAGCCGATAGATTTGTCTGGAGAAGATATNGTGTTTGGGGGGATGTCCTTTCTCTCCAGTGTCTATTAAACCAGCCGATAGATTTGTCTGGAGAAGATATGCTTGGTGTTATCCTATGAAAGCAGTTTGAAAAAGCATTTGAGCCTGTTGCTACTAATTGATTTAGAATAAAATCCAATTCTGAACTATTGAGTGAGTATGTTGCTACAAGGACTCGTGCATATTATGATTTTTTCCTAAAACATTCTTAAATATTTCTTTTTCACGAAGTTTGTTTATTTTTGGACACCAGGATACACAAAAAAATAAAAGTATGGCGGCTAGTGGGAACTAGAGAATTTCGAGCACACCAAAATATCTTTTGATTTCTGTAATATTGCAGATGTTAGTGTACCAACAAATCCGAAATATATTGTCCCAGCCGTCTTCCATTTTTTTTTTTGTTACCTGTCCCAGGCTTATTCCCATTAATGATGGTTTTATCTTATGAATCCAGTAGTTATTGTCAGAGCCTGTCCCACGTTGATATAATAGTCCTTCTTAAACTACTATATGAGTCCTTTCAGTTTCTCCAAGTATTACCAATTGGTTTTGGGCTGTTTGCTTTGACATAGTATCAAAGTTGGGCTTCATAAGGTTTTGGGTAAGACTCTTTGTTTCAGTTTCTTGAATTTGGTATTGAAGTGCACTTTGTTCTGATTCTTTTGTTTCTCTCTCCAGTGTGAGTGCAGTTTGCACATGCGTAGTGAGTGGTAGGGCTTGTCCCACACAACTAATAGTGTTTCCTAAATTAGTGTATAAGCCTCATGAATTGGTTTTGGATGGAGTGCTTTAACAATCTCAACGGAGAGTGTAATACCAACTAAGATGTGAATCAGTTGTGAACCTTATTTTCAGTTTGCTTCTGCATCTTTTTGTTTGAAATTATAGTGTTTGGGTTTTTTCTTCCCCTCTAGGAGGTGCTCTGAAGCCTACTGACGTGGAGCCTCTGTGGGTTCATGTTACTTGCGCATGGTTTCAACCTGAAGTTTCGTTCGCAAGTGATGAAAAGATGGAACCAGCTCTTGGAATCTTGAGAATCCCATCAAACTCTTTTGTAAAGGTAGAATTGAGGCATATGATCAGTTGTGCAAGGTTTTTTAGATTTATCTATCTCTGGTTTTAATCTATAAATATCAGCATTCTGATGGATAAATTTTTGATTGGTTTTTGATACACACAATCAGTCACTGGTGGAATCTAAATGTGCTTTGTCTCTTAATATTCAGATCTGTGTTATCTGTAAGCAAATCCATGGTTCATGCACACAGTGTTGCAAGTGTTCCACTTATTACCACGCAATGTGTGCATCAAGGGCAGGGTATCGCATGGAGGTGAGGTTTACTCATTTCTCTTAACTTTTGATCGAATTGTTGTTATAAACCGCTGTGTGAGTGCTTTTTTTTGGTGCAATGGGTAAGGAGTTCTGGAGAGTCCTATGAAATTATCTTGCATTTTGATGTCTACTTGTTCATTAATATTCACCAACCAACTGGGATTTTGGTTTCTACTGTTATTATGTTGGATGTGTACGAGGACCAACAGATACGAAGCTGAATTTTGATGTCATAATATTTAAGATTGAGTTTGTTCAATCTTCTGTAATGAAAAAGTAATTCATGTGCATGGCGTGTAGAATGATATCAATGGCATTTTCATGCTAACTGAACAATATGTAAATAGTGGAANCTCAATCTTCTGTAATGAAAAAGTGATTCATGTGCATGGCATGTAGAATGATATCAATGGCATTTTCATGCTAACTGAACAATATGTAAATAGTGGAAGCTTTTGCAAGGTCACTGGTGGGTTCGTTGATTTCTGTTATTTTTTGGCTGCAATCATTCTTGTTTGTAGTGTCAGTGTTGAACACTCCTCATGCATGCATGCAAGCACAAAAACTTACAGACACAAGAACTAACTGTTGCAACCCAAAGGCTTGCATTACTGGGATTGCTGTCCTTTAGTATGTTATCTCCCATGTGGAACAATTAGTTTTCCTTTTGAAGTTACTCTCTCTCTCTCTCTCTCTATGTGTGTGTGTGTTCCCCCTCCATCATTTCTGGTCACATTGTATTTGCATCCTATGTGCCATTTTTTTTGCCATGGTGATTGGTTAATACAAATGCTTGCCAAATTGCAGTTGCATAGCTTGGAGAAAAATGGGAGACAGATTACAAAGATGGTTTCATATTGCGCATATCACAGGTAGGATTCTTCATTTTTTGGCTTGGTAAGAAAAAGAAAAGTAGTTCTCTCTCTCTCTCTCTCTCTCTCTCTTGCAGCCAACAGTCATTTATACCCAATCACTTCTGAAGTAGAGGGTTCATGGACATATTTAACCCCTACATGTCATCTTTCACATGCTATCTATGTGTTCCATCTGTATTTAATATTTAGTTTATGCACCTGGATTTTGATTTTATGCAGGGCTCCTAATCCAGACACTGTTCTAATCATACAGACTCCTTTGGGAGTTTTCTCCACTAAAAGCTTAATCCAAAACAAAACGCGTACTGGTTCGAGGCTAATTTCATCCAATAGATTGAAGCTTCATGAAGCTCCAACAATAGAAACAAATAGGGTCGAACCATTTTCTGCTGCAAGGTGCAAGACCTTTAGAAGATTGAATGATAAGGTACCCTACATTAATCAAGAATCACGATGCAGCATAGGTACAGTTGCAGTAAGAATACTACGTGATTGATTGTGCATGTGTCGTCAAACTTTTCAGTAAATCTTATGTCCTTCATTTCTTATTACAGTGTGTGGATTTTATCAGCAATTGTTCAGTCACATGTTTGATAAAATTTTTAGTGTGGACCATGTGTCTGAAGTTAATTGTTTTGTTTCCAAAATAATGGGCATCTACCAGTTGCTGTTCAACAGAAGTCTGCCACTTCTTAGGTGACAAGTGCCATATTCTCTCATGATAGATTTGTTCTTGTAAGTCAAATTCTTTTTCCTTTTGGAGGGTTTGGCCAACATGAGCAAGGGTTAGTTTTTTTTTTCTCAGGGAGAAAAATTGGCACCATACTGCCTACTTCATGCTCTTATCGTTATTTTGCACTAAAGGATGCCAAATGCAAATGCAGCAAGGCTGGCTCAAGATTCTCTCCCCCCCCCCCTCCAAAAAAAAAAAAGTTGCCATTCGACATTCATCTTCCTTATTCTCTTTTTACTTGCAGCTAGATTTTGGCTTGCACAATTTCGTGAACTGGAGCACAACACAGTGAATGACTATGCTTTATTTAAGCCTCCTTACAGCATGAAATCCTTTTTTAATTTTTGGCGTTATTCTATCATCGCCTTGCATGTGCTTTTCCACATTTCAATGTGAATTTAAATTATGTTTATTTAATAGTATTTCCTTTTCCAAATTGCTATGTTTGCTCCCTAGATCATTTTTTCAGCTATCTATTTAAAATTATGTGTGCTAGTGCTGTTGTGTGTACCCTGCCTCAATTTTTGTCTTTTTCCTTTGTTTGCTTGGCAGAGGACAGGTGAAGTGGNCAATGTGAATTTAAATTATGTTTATTTAATAGTATCTCCTTTTCCAAATTGCTATGTTTGCTCCCTAGATCATTTTTTCAGCTATCTATTTAAAATTATGTGTGCTAGTGCTGTTATGTGTATCCTGCCTCAATTTTTGTCTTTTTCCTTTGTTTGCTTGGCAGAGGACAGGTGAAGTGGCCATTGCCCACCACGTGATGGGACCTCGCCATCATTCTTTGAGGGCAATTCAAAGCTTGAACACTGTCAGAGTAAAAATTTCTTCTCATGGTCACTTTTACATAGTTATGCTTCCATTCAGCTGATCACAAGAGAAAATTTGAGATGACATACTTTATTCCACAGGAGATAGAGGAGCCGAAAACTTTTTATACTTTCAGGGACCGGCTTCACCATTTACAGGCAAAGATTCATCCCTCTTGTTCAGTTCCTATTATTTACTGGGTTGGCTTTCTCACTCTTTGGGTGTTTATTCGTGACTCCAGAGAACAGAAAATGACAGGGTTTGCTTTGGTAGATCTGGAATACATGGATGGGGACTGTTTGCCCGTCGAAACATCTTTGAAGGAGAAATGGTAAGTACCTTTTTTTAGTTCTTCAAGGTGTGTTGTTTGTTTGTCAATTTCCTCCTAGTTCTTCAGTTTCCTCCCTTTTTCTTTATTAAAAAAAAAAACTCTACTTTAAACGACTAGTTAACACCGACTCCATGGAAGTCTTGAAGATTTTAGTGATGTGAACTCCTGTGGACATAAAGTCACTCCAGTGGGTTTTCATACTTTTTGAAGGCACAATATCATGCTCCAGATTAAACCCATAGTAAGCTGGAGTCCTCACTAGAAACAATGGCAAAAAGCCAACATCTTCAGTTCCTGGAACTTAAAATTGATACTCACCTAATGAGAACCTAGGCTAGTTACTGGGTTCAATTATACAAAATTTAATTGGGGAACATTCATGTCATGCCCAGGTTCTTGAATACCGTGGTGAACAGGTGAGACGCAGTATTGCAGATCTGAGGGAGGCACGCTATCGTATGGAAGGCAAAGACTGCTATGTAAGTTGATTGCTTTTAGACATGTCCTTTGTTCCGCAAAAGAACAGATTATTTGTTATTATTGTCTCCCTCCTCTTTTTATCTCATGAAAGTGGTGAAATTTATAACTTACAGCTGTTTAAGATCAGTGAAGAAGTGGTAGTGGATGCCACAGACAAAGGAAACATTGCCCGCCTAATTAACCATTCAGTAAGTTTTGTTCAAGTTGGATATTAGAGAAAGAATGGTGCTAGTGCCATATTGTCAGTATTGTTGACCATTTTTAGCAAGTTGTGGTCACTTGATGCATATTTTGGACAACTTTTGTTGTGTTTTTCCAGCTGAACTATTTTATTTCATTATGAACAGTGTATGCCCAACTGCTATGCAAGGATCATGAGTGTAGGTGATGATGAGAGCCGGATAGTACTTATTGCTAAGACTAATGTGTCTGCCGGTGATGAATTAACGTATCTCTCTCTCTCTCTCTGNGATGATTGAACTTGAACTGATCAATAAGTGAGGTGTGTGCATCTAACAGAATATGATTTGACTTATGCAGATGCTGCAGCTGGCAGACTATCATGCACGTAGCCTTGTTTCTGTTAATTCTCTTAAACGCCCTTCTTTAAAAGCACGAAAACAGAAGTTGCTTACTTTTTTACAAGGTATACTCCTTCCTAAGCAGTTTTTTTCACTTTTTCTGGGTTGTTACATTTTGCTGCACCTGCTGCCACACCAGTCAAGGAACTGACATTGTACTTATGTGACAGAGAAATATGAGCCTGTTAATTCCAAGTGGACAACAGAGCGGTGTGCTGTCTGTCGATGGGTTGAAGATTGGGACTATAACAAGATTATCATATGCAATAGGTATTCTCAATAAGGAGCTTATTGTGCTTGCGTGCACAACCTAAACGTGGTCCTCACACATTATAGCTGGCAATATAATCCTACCCTAGAATTTAAATCCAGCAATTGGATAATCCATCGGAGTTGTCCGAATAAAAAAATTATGGTCAGGCAATCTTGGGTCATCAAATTATGCTATTTCCCCAGCACTGACAAAGTTTCTGTCTCCAAGACTCTAGCCTGAACTAGATTGCCTGAGGTTTCTCATTACAGTTCCACCTTGTTTGTTTTTATTTTGCACCACAATATCCTTTGTCAAATAAATGTTAAAAGATTTCCATCATATTCTGAATCAGTATTATCAGAACCGGACCGGACCAGACCGGTCCGGTTTGATAAAAAGACCATCTGAGCAAGTAAACCGCTAAGGAACCGTAAAACCGGCCAATTTTGGAGAAAACCAGGGAACCGGATCACCAAATTTTAGCCCTTACTTTTGGGGCAATTTTAGCCCTAAATCACCAAATTCTTCCACCTTCTCTTTCATCTTCTCCAGTCTAGACGTACAACAGCTCAACACAGGCAAGGGAATTGATCTCCTTGGCTCAGCAACCCGAAGTCTCGAACTTAACCAAGGCAATCAGTTTCTCCCTTCTCCTTCCTTTCATTGTGGGCTTTTTCCGCCGACCGGCATTAACTTGTCACTGGACATTGAGGATTGGTGGAGAGGGGTGGTTTGAATTTTTTGACATGATTTAGAGTTGGTGTCTGAACAGAAGCTGGGTTGAATTGCCATCTCTCTCTCTCTCTCTCTCTCTCTCACACACACACACACCGATCACAGCACACACTCATCTCTCGCTACCCCTCACACACATAATTGATACATTTTAAAGTATAGAAATCTAATTGAATTTTTTTTTGTTGGGCAAACCTAATTGAATGAAATTTGCAAGTTTAATTAGGAATTTAAGGTACTAATTTGTGGAATTATGCTTTAATTCATGTGAATGTGATTGGGATTGCGAATTTTGTTGGTAATGTGATTATGATTTNATTAGGCTAGTCAATTTTCAAGAGCAAGTTTTGTCCTTAGACTCATATCAATTGGTATTAGAGCTGGTTTTTTTCTGCTCTCAAGTTGCAGAGGGTTTTGAGAAGGGGGTGGGGATTAATGTACTATACTACACTATTATCTAATTATTGCGTAAAAAATTGGCCACTGGAACCACCACCGTTTTCTCTGTAGAATTGTTGTGAATAATACGTCATCATTCTGCTGCTATTGAAGTATTATGTGGCATTTTTGCAGGAGGAAAAGAAAAACATTTCTGGGCTTAAATTTTGTTTTTCAAATTTGGTGGGTGGTTTTGTAGAACATTGTACATGACACCAAAGAAACAAATCAAAACAAAGATGAGGGCACGGGTTGATTTTCGGCAACCAATAAGATAGTGGCACTTGGACGGTTAACATTGCAACACCGAAAGAAGTTGGTAAGGAAGTTGGAGGATTTTACCAGGGTATTCTTTTTGATACTTGAGTCGGTCAATGTATAAGAAAGATGATACAACTCATACATGCGTACCTGAAATCCAATCCTTGGATTATTTTATTTATACCTGGAGCAGGTGCTAACTCAAATTTCTCTTATTGATGTGTAAGTCGACATGCTTGACATGTACGGCGGCGGTCAATCTTGTAAGTTCTAATTCAAATATTTTGGAGTGAATGTCTCCCATTACTCTACATGTACAGCGGCGGTCAATCATGTAAGTGGCCATCTCATCGGAAAAGATTTTCATCTTGTTGTAGGGTGGATGATGACCCTGCTCGGGATCAAACATTAGATGATGACGCTTCTTGGGATATTATCCAATTGGTTTACGCAGGAGAATTTCTATAACAGTTTAAAATAACGATTTTTAGCCTGATGAATCTACAACAATCATAAGATCAGAAAAAGAGATTGGGTGAACACCCAACTTATCCCCTCCGAAACTTAAATCAGTATAAGATTAGAAATTTTAGTACAACGTATTATGCGTCGTTGTTTAATATTGCGTACATTTGTTCACTTTTCTGAGGAGTATTTATACATGAATTAATAATGAGTGTTAAGGCCTCAAGTCTCATCTGAACATTCAATGCCTAACACTCTTACCCATTAAGATCTGAATGTTTCCCACACAGATATTCACATATTTAATTTTAGGATGATAGGGCAAGTGTTGGGAGATGCGTCAGGCATCTATGGCTATTCCCAAGCACTCAAGTGTCTTTGATCGGCGCCTGACACCTACTATTGAGCATTAAATGCTCGGGGGAACAATATTTTGGGGTGTACCGAGGAGGTATTCTTGGCACCTTAGCTATTAATGTTTAGCCATCATGACTGCAGACTTAAGTTTTTGAGAGTGCAGGGGCTCATTAATGGCAGTCTTCGTCACTCACATCATCATAAATGAGTGGTCAAATCGCATTAAATACGTGTGTCAGCTTGTATACTCAGCTCTTCTAAGCCGTCATATCTCGGCTCCACTCCTCGGCATCCTTTGGACTCCTTAACGGCTACAATTTTACACGTGTCGATTTGGAGGCTACTGAACCGTCTAGAGTCCCGCCAACTGCCCCCCAGCCTCCGTTCTTTTTGCGGCATGGGACAGGTGGCGCAAAAAGACTAGAGGCTTATTGAACACGCCTCATTAATAAGGACGGTTACTTGCACATCTGGTGCCGCCCTTTTCAAATCCCCTGATGATGACCTACCTTTTCGATTCTCGCCCCTCTCAGGAAGGTATAAATATGAGATGGTAGAGTCATTTCAGAACTTTGTAACTTTGCACTTCCTTCTAGCAATCAACTCCCGAGCGTTCTCCTTCCATCTCCTGAGCACTCTTCTGTTATCCTCCGAGTTCTCTCTCTGAAGATCCTCTACCTGTAAGTACTTCCTCTTTTTCAAGTCTGTTTCTCATTTCTACATTTCTCTTTAAAACCCATCAATGGCTAGAACCCATAGAACATGGGAAGGAGCACCTGCCAAGGCTAGGGCCAACCAAAAACTGAGGAGGACTGAGGTGACTGATGAAAACATCCAAGCCTTTAGGGTTAGATACCATATCTCCAAGCCTATCTTCACCTTCCCTTTCGATGCCAAGTTCCATAGGAAAGACATAGGGAGTGTAGAGATGATGCCCTTTTATACCAAGGTCATCATAGAAGGGGGATTGAACTTTCCCCTTCACCCCTGTTACTAGAGATGTTTATTCAACTGAAGTTTTTCCCTTTTTAATGCGGTGTAAACTTCTTTAGGATAGTAATGGGTGTAGTTGCCCTAAATGATCGGTTGGGGGTGAACCTGGAGGTAGACAAAATTCTATTTTCCTACGACTTATGACTAGTCGCAGGGGGCATGTACTACCTCCAGGCCTGAGACCTTCAATGCACTTGGTGACCCACATGTTAGACTCAGAAAAGGGGTATATGGATAATTTGATCATGCTCGGCAGAAGTTGGGAGAAAGGAGATGGGGCCGAGTATGACGGATTGAACTAGCCCAAAGTGCCGAGAGACAAAGGTGTGTTTTCACACACGTTGAGATTTGTTCGGCACCTTGTCATCATCATTTCTAACCTTGATCATTTGTTTTTGCAGAAGGATACTGGCGTGACACTGCTCAACCTCTAAGGTCCCAAGTCAGATTTGCAGACTTGTTGAGAGTCTGGTCCCACGTCCCAATCGAGCGAGCAACACATGTACTCCTCGGCTACGTGTCGGCCTATAGCAAATTCTCTCAAGTTCCTCCGTCGTTCAATCCTTCACTCTGGGAGGATCACTCTTCTGAGGGAGAAGAGGAAGAATAAGACCTTGAAGCAAATCCCGATCAGGACTCCGAGTGCACCCCTTCCCCATTTGAGCACACTGTCCCCCCAGAAGAAAGGTTCAATCCACCACCAAACACAACCGCAAGCATGGAGGCTGCCGCCACGGCGAGGAAAGCCAGGCTCTTGAGGCTTATCGGGCCTTCAAACACTGCCCTAATCAGTCCATCGCCGGTTTCACCACGAAGGCAACCACTTCTTCTGCTGCCATGTCCTCAATCGTCCGAGGACCCCATTATCTCACCAAGGGACCAGGCCCCAAATCACCATGTCCTCCCCCTCGGGCGATTGGTAGAG